TAATCATCTTGGTGGCAAAGTATGCATGCGGTAAAACATAGTCAAATTACTAATGTAAATATATTTGTTTTGTAAATAATTGTTTGTAAATAACTGCTTGTATAATTATTTCTAAAAAAAGCTCTTCTTCGAGAAGGAAATAAAGATAAACAAACAAACAAACAAACAAACATGGTAGAGATATATGCTTCTCAAGAGGTCATGCTCCAGTGCAAGCATACATATTAGTTCATGAAAAGATCATATGAATAAAGAAAATATACTCAAATATATAAAACACAACTGTCACAATCATTCTAAGGATTTTCAAAATGGCTGACATCATTTCATTTCATGCTGAAAATTGCAGAAAAGTTCCATTTTTGCACAACGCTTGGTCCTTACCTAGATTTTTACATATCTCAAGAAGTACCTTAGAAGCACACTATTCCCTCAATATATATAACTTTCTAGGTAAGAACCAAGCGTTATATGAACAAAGCAAGAGTTTATCATGACCTTCCTCTATCTAAAAAGAAGTAGGTCAACTCAATTGCAAACATAACTAATCCCTACTCAATGACTATTGAAATATGAAAATTTATCTGTACAAAATATTAATCCAAATAGTATACAAAGTGACACAATTAAACAATGGGACATCTGCCAAGTTGGGTTTACTAGTATACATTCTGGAGACATTTTCTGAGACTGATAAAATATTCACATTTTCACAGGAAGTGATACGTACCTCCCAAATCAACCAAAATATACTTATATCAGTAGTTGAATGCTTTTTATTGATATTTCTTGAAAATATACATATTTATCTACAATTTGATCCTACATATCAAGGATATTAACGACATTGCATTTTTCAAAAAATGTTAGGTGACCCAAGGGGTGTCTATAGCCATCCGTTCTTCATTAAATTCAACGTGTGCAATTTTGCCAGTTCGTTTCGGGGAAATCAATTCATTTTTTGTTGTTGTTTATTCTATCCTCATTGTTTTGATAAAAAAATAGAAAGTGTATCTCAATATTGTTAATCATAATTTGCTATTCTCCTGTCTCACACCGGAATAGCCTGACAACGGTAAAGTCAGCTACCGTTGTCACAAATGGCGGACATAACCGTCGCTTCAATTAGATTTTCATGAACTGTATGTTTATTAAAGCACCAAGACTAAATTCCTTTGGAACAACAATCAATCAAAGTGTCGTTATACTCATTCAGTTAATTATGTTCTACCATCGATATAAAGTCTTTAATCTAAACCGATCAAAATGAGATACGGGACAACGGACACTGTATAACCATATGCCATTGTCTTTGTAAATTATTCCAAATTCTATGATACATCACCAAAAGAGCTTAATACATGCTCATACATGGACAGAATTAGTGACGATGAAATCCCATAAAATTGGACCAAGTGATTAAAGAGTTCAAGCGACGGTTGTGTCCGCCATTTGTGACAACGGTATCTGACTTTACCTTTGTCAGGCTATTCCAGTGTTTGCACGGTGTCCAACCCAAACGCTCTTACATGCATGACGGAGCATTTCATTCACGCGGAAAAGCTGCGGAGCGAAATAAAATGGCGGCTAATGAAGATCCCACTATGACCCTAAGTATTGTTTCGTTCGTTTCTCTTACATATCATACGTTATGGTGACATATTATGTCCAATACGAACAATACCCTCAGTAAAGATCTTCTGGTGGTAAACTGTTATTTGCTTTATCAAAGCTCCGTAGTGTAGATCGAACGAATCTGAAGTTGACGAATTGACCACAAATTACGAATTAAACTAGTATTTATATGAAAACGTCAATCTTTCTGTCAAAGTAGTAGATCACAAACTTGTATATTATCATTTTCTAAAATCCCAGTCCAAATCCATTACTTGTTCTCGAGAAATCGCTTGTTTTCTTCGAAACGCTCCGTCGATTTAGGACACAATTTTAGAAACGCTCTTACCATTTTGTTTTGATATCATTTTCAAATTATTAGAGAAGAGTTCGGAATCGAATCTATCTCTCAAAAACGTGTTGCCCTTGTTAGGCAAATTGAAACGTCCCAACCTGGTGGTGCTAAACGTGCAACTAGCCGACCTAAGCCTACATTAGATGATGTTATGCCTAATATATGTGCTAAAACATAAAACTATTGACAAAAACAAAACGTTGATATGTGAATTAATCTTTCTACTTTTGATGCCAATGGCCATAGATCTTTTCTTTCTCTTCCTGAAAAGGAAAGTCGGCTATATATTTCCTAAACAGATCTAGACTACCGCAGCGTTTCCAGTTCACTGTGTTAACCAGGTCGCAGCGTTTCTTGAATATGAGAATGTCATCATTTTTAAGACTGGATTTTCGGTCATCAAATCACAATTACGATAATGTGGTGTGTTGAAGCATTGAAATTTGACCAAAGTATACATGTAGTCTCGACAAAAGGTGTTTTGACCAGTAGAATGACAAATTCGTTTATGAATTTTGATAACTATACCACGCGTACTGTATACTGCTTCGTACAGCTCTACCTAATTGCGTCAAACGTCAATAGCCAACCAAGTACAAAAATGAATATCACACCCACCGAATGGTATACTCGAAATAAGTAACTCATACCTCTTATTCCCATTATTGGGGAAATTGTCAGACGGCTCATCATTCCTGCCCGCCAGTTTTCCTACTCCGGAGCGTTTCTTTGTTTAGATTCATTGTGCCTTGAGCGTTTGGGTTGGATACCGTGGTTTGGCAGCTTGGTATTTGTAAAATATTTTCATAAAGCACCTGCGCCTTCCTTACTGTAGGTGGGAGATGGGCTAAGCCATTATAGCCTACAGAAGTAGGGTTTGGGAAATGTATTCATTGCACAAATCATGGACTTTCAATTTTTACAAACTGTTTTATTTGACTCGTTTCATAATTTCGTTGTTGGAAAAATTCATTGAGCGAACTTTTTCCAATTTTTTCACATCAAAATCGATCAAAATTGCTCCATTAATCAAATCACTTAGTAAATAATCAACTTTAAAATAAGAAAACTTTTGTAATGTTATTATATCCTTATTCCTGACACGTTTTCCTTTCTAGTGATATATTACTGATAATCAAACTGTTGGGACAGTTGCCGCGTCATACTTGCACTTTGACCCTTTCCCCCATCTTGCTTCATCAAGCTTCGGATCTATCCTAGATAGAACGTAGTGATTGAGCGTGGGAACCGACGATGCCTTTCCCCGCCGTCCCCTGTGAACTTTTCAGATGAAGTAAATGTAAAAACAAACTGGTTGTATTTATTTTTTCCCAAATACTCTATTCCACATACAATATATACACAAGTCCAGGTGAATCTCAAACAATAATCGACAAGCGGAAAATATAAGGTCACACAGTAAAACCTGTCTCATCCGAACGCCTCTTGGACCGGCTATAAATTATGTTCGGATTAACAGGTATTATCCCCGACAGGTGAAGCAGGGTACCCGCACAAGTGAGGCAGATACGAAGTGAAATGCCTAAACAATAAACTATCATTCTGATACTCATAACATATTTCTGCTTTCAATCTAGAGAGAAGCTAATATACGGCCAGGCTTTCTCATGAGGATGACTATAAAACTATTTAAAACGTATCCCGATTATCCAAATGCTTCTTGTATAAGCCTACTGATATACAGTATACGGGCCAATTTACGCTAATTTATATTTCAAAGAATACAAAATTCGAAAATTAAAATATTCATATGGCGATGATTTTTTCTTGCAAAGGAAACACGTTATGTTTTATGAAATCGTGAGTGGCATCATTGGAGCTAAATTGGGATTTCCTAACCCAATCTCCGAGCCTTTCGTCCAGTGCAATCCGTACCTCCTGTGCCGTAGGTAGTGAAGGTACGCAACAAACGAAATGAATTTTGAGAATGTTCCTAATCTAAGCAATTTTCAAAGAAACGAAAAATTAACATATTTACGTTGATCGTTCAATAAGTTTCGTTTTAATTTCAAATAAGATATTATTCATCACATTTGTGAGTATCAAACAAACAATAAACATGTTTCCTCATGCAGATATAAGTATTGAACGGTAAAAATAAAAATGTATATAGAGTCAACGTTATCGTTTGGCCGAATTTATTAGCCGTAAAATATTTTGAAAAAGAGATAACTTAAAAAATGGGCAAGATAAGTTCATACAATTTCACATGTACAGACCTTCCCAGATGCCCTCACTATATACACTGGTACTCACCTAGTTACGCTGACGATACGTCAGCGAAACAAGATGGAAGAACTTCCGGGCTTCGTTTTCGGTAAGATATTTTTATTTCTCAATTCTACACCACTTATGAGTCAAGTTATGGACAATATTTGGCTCAAAGTTAAGGAAGATAGTCTAGTTTGAGAATATGCAGGCGGTTCTATGTTTGGTATATTAACGAAGACGCAATTCATCACATATTTAGTCCCTCGCTTTTGTTACGTTGACGATCTTCATGAATATTGTCACATTGGCAATATTCATGAAGATCGTCAACGTAACAAAAGCGAGTTTATATTTCTCGAAAAAATAAATTTGTCGATATTTTTAAAAAAGATAAGCAATATTTCAAACAAGTACCTTGTGGTAATGGTTACTTGAAGTCTTGTCCACAAAAAATAACACATTGGATGTCCATGAAATCAACGTATGTCTCAGTACAACAACAGATTTTTAAATATAAATTATCGTAAATTGGCTCATATGTGTGCCCCCTGGTCCACTTACAACATAAGAATGTTCTAGTTTAGTGCCCCCCCCCCGCCTCCTCCACATGCTCATGTTGGGATCCACAATTCTCTAATTTCCCATAGAATAGAGGCTTAGATAAAGAGAGACTTAAATCAAACTGCAGAATGCTAGTTCAGTTCATAAATGGGTGTTATCTGGTTGGCATGTTACACTATATAACTTCAAGTTCATTCAACTTGTTACATTGACAAAAATGCGTACTCTAGTTGCTTTGAAGCAAAAAGTTTTAGTTCAGTTGAAAAATATTTTTAATTGAATTAATGAGCGTTCTCAGCCATATCCATAATAATGCGCTAACTAGTTCAGTAAGGTACACTCGGTACTCTTTGGTTCAGATCGAGTTAACATTATGAGCATTTAGGTTTTTACATATATATATTCCAGACGTTTATCGAGATTTTGCAGGTTTGTCCATTATGTGAATATGAATAGGAACTTTTATATTGGTGTTTTTTTCTTCTTCATCCATGAAATAAACAACACATTGAGGATTTATCTTTAAGCCATCATCATTCTGGTACGATAAGTCATCTATTTGGGATATCTTCATATATTGTGAGACTATTCCTGAAAATAGCAAACTTTTTGAGTGTTTTGGACGCACTTGGACGCTGGAGCAAAACGGGTGGAACGTCTGGAAGATCTTAATATTATCCCTGATCCACTCAGCCCTGTCACTCAGAATGACACAAGCAATATTTTCTGGACGATCTGAAAGTAATGAAAACATACAAATAGTTTAATTGTGTATGGATCTCATTATTTTGCGTTTTTTACCATTGTTCCCAATTTAATGTAGTGACGTGTCGCAAAAAGGTGGCGCATTTGTTTTTTAAGGGTATCGCGTGAATGTAACTTTGATTCCCCGGATTATAAGATAATATTCTAATTAAAGTTATATATCATTTTAAAGCTGTTTCGATGAAGATTTTAGATCAACTACACTCCGTTCACATTTTTTGCGCGTTCGTTTTTAAAAAAGAGTTTTTTACCAAAACATCTGGCAAATATCCCATGTTGACACGTTACATTTTGAATTATTTTTCGTCTTTAAACGCTCATAACTCAACCAATATATAACTATTATACTTATTTTTCGTCTTGATAAAGGTAGATGGAAGTTTTATTTCAAAGGATGAATTTTAGTAAGCGTCCCATATTGTGACGTCATAGAGTCTGAAAAATAGAATCTGTTGACAGCGACCTTTTTTGCTCATTTTTTGGTACCTTCAACTTTTCAGGTGTACATTAAACAAAAATACGAGATCAATTTTTAATAAATCATACATGATTATTTTGCTCCTAAACTCTAGTTTATTAATAAATAGTTGATTTTGTTCACAAAAGTATGTGTTTTCTGTTGTATGTGGAAAAGTGGAGGACGAAAGGTTTTCAAAATTCATTAAAATAGGGCTAATTTACGCCATTCGCCTATTTTCAAGCACAGCAACACGTATATTTATTTCACCTAAAATATCAATTGATTCGTGTTTTATGATGCTCCTAGCCCATTAACAATATATATATGATATCAGAGTTATTCGTCTAAAATGTTTTGAGATATAGAGGTAAATGTGGAGGACGAAAGGATTTTCATGTGTGTACATTTTTCTCAAAAACGTCACATTCTATCATGTTAAAAGCGAGGATCCTCTGGATTACGCCACAAAATGTGTAACAATGCGTGCGCGAGCTTTTTGCGACACGTCAGTTAATGTTAAAATGACACGCTTGGCGCTTTCAGCAACTATGACTAAAAATCTAATATACAACCTTATATTATTGTCGGATTGCGTGTTCATTATAGCTAACGCAACATCATGTACTAAGATAGGACGAAATATTATGAGTGGAATACTTATTTGAGTGTCAAATAATAGAGAGGTTAGTTATATTCCGTGGTAATGTCAACAAGTTCATTACCGCGGATTAGGTCATAAACGGACGGTGTAAAGGTATGAGGAAAAAGTACATGAAAAACGAAATGAGAGGGACGTACAAGTTCTCTTAAAACGCGAATTAACCTCCCTAAAGTACAGTAAAATTTTAAGTGTTTATAACTACTTTGAATTTAAAAATTTAAAAAATAAGCAATCAAATGACTATATTGCAACAGTTTATGAAAAATGGAAACATATGTACAAGTCCTAACTTTGTATGTTTCAGATAGTTATGTATAATGTGAAGCAAAGCTGTGGCCTTTTGTAATTTAGGGAGTTTGAGTCATGTTAATTTTTTAGAAAATAACATGGCAGAGAATCATCAAAATATAAGAGGCCTTAGATATGATAGCTAAACAACAAAACAAACTAAAATATACAAAAGTTAGGACATGTATATAAATGTTTCTATTTTTACACATTTTTTTCAATATGGTCTTTCGATGGCTTATTTTTTAGATTCAAAGTTGTTCCAAACATTTAAAATTTTACTGTAGAATAGATGTAATGTGTAGGTTTAAGGATTTAAGCCCTGAACTCAGTGCAATGTGGAATGACCATTCCTTGAAGGTGTTGCATTCCAAAATTTGCACGAGATGCGGAGCATCGAGTGTTGATTTTAGGAAACGACGCCTGAAGGGAATGGTAACTTGGTCATTACACAATGCATTGAGTCTTGGGCTTAATTCTTTTCACACATTGCTAAATATTTTCTACATAATCATCGAAAAGATACGAAATCACTAAAAGAACATTTTTTCAATAAAACGTCTTGCAAGGGTCAAGCTTTTCTGATATCTGGGGAAAATATTGCTCACGTACGTAGGTTCTCTTAAAAACGTATAACTTAACCTCCCTATCACGCAGGGCAAACACACGAAAATCAGGAATATCAACTTAAGGTCTCATGGAAGTTAACAGGAAATGACAAAACAAAAAATGACAAAGCCATGCTGGATTTTGAAAATTTTTTGAACCAAGATAACAGAGTTCTGTTTGGACCTCCAGTCAGTTTAACTAGTTCCAAATATCATTTACATGACCAGGAACACAATTGAAATGGTCAGAATGACCATAAACATGATAAAATAACCTTTTTAGCCCTCTGAAAATGTGACTGAAAAATAGCTGAAAGTAGGTGCTCAGGAAAGGTCAATGAACAGAATCTTTTGATTTTTTCAGAATATGTGTCCAATATATTGCTCTAAATGACACAATCTTTGAAATTTTAAAAAATCGTCTGAAACAATAATGGCTGTAGTAAAAAGGAAAATAGATCGATTTTCAATTCAGTTTTTTTCAATTTTTTCTTTTTCTAAGAATGATATCAAATTTTTTTGAATTGTATCATTTAGAGCAATATATTGGGCACATTTTCTGAAAAAGTCAAAATATTCTGTTCAGTGACCTTTCCTGAGCACCTACTCTTAGCTATTTTTTAGTCACATTTTCAGAGGGCTGAAAAGGTTATTCTATCATGTTTATGGTCATTGTGACCATTTCAACTGTGTTCCTGGTCATGTAAATGATATGTGGAACTAGTTAAACTGACTGGAGGTCCAAACAGAACTCTGTTATCTTGGTTCAAAAAATTTTCAAAATCCAGCATGGCTTTGTCATTTTTTTTTTGTCACTTCCTGTTAACTTCCATGAGACCTTAATTATTTATTTTCTTCATCTTAGACAATTCCATACCTTTATCACCAATTGTATTCAGCGACTTGAACAGCGATGAAACATCTTTACCCGTCTGACTATACCAATCTGTGTTTGAATTGTATCGGTCGTTCTGTTTCATCCAAGACGTTATATCAAACGAATCAAATAGAGCCATTCCAACAACTCCTCCTGCTGCTAGTCCCAGCAAAAATGCCAAAATATTCACTGTGATGTTCTTACATGAGCCTTTTCGTTCGGCATCTTTTGTATCAGCTTTGTGAAGAACAATCGGAAATTTCACAAAATTAACATTTTGTAGTGTTTCTGGAGTAGGATAGATGTTAGCATCATTCGATACTGACTTGAGGTGAAATTTTTCCGTTTCACAATTCATAACGATGTCCTCTTTATTCAGTGGGTTATTGATTTCATTGTCGTTTTGCTGATTACTGTTTTTATGTTCATTATATATATTATCACCACTCATATTTATGATATCAGCTTACTGTCAAACTATGATCGAGTCCTTGTTTTGATTATGAGGTTTATCGATGTACGTAAAACTGTGTTCAATTCAAGCATATGCGATCGATGCCTTGGTCACATTTGGTCCGATTTTCACAACGGCGCACGGCCGATTGAGTATTTTGTTCAGAAATGTATTCAATTTTGAACAAAATACTCAATCGCAGCAAATGTGAACTAGGCATTACCAACGTTAACTCAGGTCACACTATACCTTTTGAATTTAAAAGAGCACTTAAAATAGACTTCTGTTCGATCCTTTCATTGCTTGTAAAGCAAAAAACACAAATGTAAATATTTCGTCAATGATTTTGTGTACGAAAAGAAACGTTAATACCTTTTATTTACTTAGTATTTAAATATATCCTTCTGTCATCTCGATATTACCGAACAGTAATTTTCAACGTTCATTTCAATGTCTGTCCGTTCCTTCCTGAGGGTAAATATACAGATCAATAGCAATTAAAACCTGTTTCATTTATCCAGCGTATTTAATTAACAGTTTTAATTGCATTACTTTTTAATAACTCTAAAGTATTACGCTTTTGATCAATCCGATCGCATCCATTTGAGAAATCTCATTCCCTGGTTGTTGTTGAACTAAGGTCCAGGTCGTTTTTAATAGCCTGCACATGTGTATTTATGAAAAGTACAGTTCAGTGGCTTCAATGGAAGTTGAAATTAGTCCAAACTAAATTGACACGCAGGCGTCGTTCAAGTATGACCTCATGAAAATCATCTGCACATTCGTTGCTGCTTGCTGACTCTATTCAATACTGAAATTATACAATACACACAGTAGTAAATATTGCACATTACAGAAAGAAAATCACATGAATAATTTGCAGACCAAGATTAAGAAGATATAAGATACTGGATTATTTATTACCTTTTACGAAAGGGCAGTTTTCATTTTATCCAATCTGGAAGAGCGTCAAAATGAGTTATATTTGGGTCGCGTAACTAATTGCCAAAATAATGAACATGAAGCCAAAAACATGTTTTGAAACTATTGCAATTATGGAAATGGTAACACGCCCCCTTATGTTATATAAACACATAACATCCTCCACGTGTTAATTAAAGTAACATCCAGGAAATGAGGGTATGTGTATGTTTATAGGGTTATTTATAAACATATAAGTGATATATCACCATGTTTGGTACCAAAACAACGCTGAAAATATGTAAATAAAGAATACATACAGACATACATTGTGAATCAGGATCTTGTGACATACACTCCCCTCCAAAAGTTTTGCAACCTTAGCTCACTCATTGAACTACGTGTTGAGTCTCTTTATGTTTGAATTTTTATATGCATAACCTATGAAGAAAAAACTACGTTTAGGGCCGGATATATAAAGTGACATAATTCCAATACCTCTAATTTTTCTAATTTTTTCAACAATTACAATAGATCGGAAATGGATGACAAATCTGATGAATTTTTGAAAATCGACATTTAAACCAATGGGAAATGGTAGGGTTGCCGCAAGTCAGAAGAGAGAATATCCATTCATCTGAGGTTGCAAAATAATACACGTTAGGTAGTCAATTGAATTTTCCAACTTTATTTAACAAAAATTGATACGTTTCGTTTCTTCTGGTTTAAAAATGTTAAAGGTCTTCAAAGTCAAAATTATTTTTCAAAAAACTCCCATTGAAATAACACAGAAGGTGAAAATGATTTTCAAAAAATGACTTTGAAGCTTTATAATTTTAGTATTCATGAAGTGAACTAAACACATAGCGTACAAAAAGTTAGACAATTCAATTTTCTATAAAAAAAAATTGTGAACCTTTTATACTGGATGAATATTCAGAAATCGTATTTGCCCCAAACCTACCATTTCCCATTGGTTTACATAGAAATGACGATTTTCAAAAAGTCATCATCAATTTTCGACTTATTGTAATTGAGGAAAAAATTGGGAAAATTTGTAGGCATTGAATTGGAAATGAAGTCAAGATACCACGGTGTTATAGCATGATGGTTACGCCACCTCTGAAAACGAGGTTGGACGGCTACGTTCACTGATTTATCCAATAAAATGGCCGCGATGGAAGAGAAAACTAAGGTTGGTGCATTATTTTCTTCTTCTGTGTACCAATGACAGGATGAAAGATTTATGTAAGCGTCGCATTCGGTGATGCATTCAGTAATGTATATTTTGAACGTAGTCTTGATGCCCAGGGATAACATGAAATAAGAGAAAAACTGTCGAGTTTGAAATTCAAAACTACACAAAAATTTAGTAATTTGTTTATTTTTGTTGTTAGGGCATGGCCTACATTGCCTAAAACCCTTGTGGTTTTAGGCAATGTAGGTATATAGATGTAACCTACATACGATCATACAAAGCCAATTGAGCGTTGGAAACCACCTAATATGTTCTACTCAAGCCATAATGATGTATTTTGAATTTGCGGTAACGATCCTAAATCTTCTTTTGCCTCTTCATTGCTATCTTTTACACTTTCATCGGTTTCATAAATAAAACAAGCGACAGTTTTTTTTCCTTGCCTTATAGAGAACAAGAGCGTCTCTTGCGAGTCCTGAAAACATATATAATAAATTCAATATTCCATTTCTTACCCATTATAACAATAACATGGAAAGGGGCTATCAGATCTAGCAACCTTGACTTGACAGATGTACATGCACGTAACCGTCCGCTAAATATCTTATGTACAACTATAATACAATTACGTTACCGTCCATAGAATTCGATCGAAATCATACGTAGTCGTCTAACGACATTGCGTTTGAAACCTTATTATTTACAATATACACCACGTTCCGGTTCTGGATTTGTCATTTTATGCCTTGTTTATACACAGTTTACTTACAGTTAATATTTTGATTGGCTCTGAGGCACATGTACTGAGAAAACACGAGAATGGACCCAAAATTATAAACTTGGATATCTCAGTCGGTAGGTTTACAGCTTATATTCTGTTTCTTGTAGACCACCTGGCAGATTTGACCCGGTCTTTATAACCATCCATATAAACGTCACCGAATGGAAGTAGTTTAAAAGGAAATCTTATCTGTGAATATTGCCTACAGGCGAGAAAGAGGACATGCTGCCTTTCCCATCCGCCATTTTTTTGTTATCGTTACCACAAAATTTTGCAAATCGCCTTGGCGTAACCGTCATGCTATAACACCGTGGTTACAGTTCGATCAATATTATACGTATTTCCCCGCAGGTTATGTAAATAAAAATTCAAACATAAAGATAAAGATAAAGATGAACACGTAGGTCAATAAGGGAGCTAAGGTTGCCAAACTTTTGGAGGGGAGTGTATTTGTTCATTGTTTATGCATGGAATTGCATAGTCGTTGTGCTTGTTTTTTTCTCTATCTGAGCTGTTGAATTAACATTTAGATTACTTTTGATCATATCAAAGTGCATATTTAGCCCTGCGTTTATGAAGGTATTCATTAACTTGATTATTTTTCCAATTCTTGTTTATTTAATATTTTATAAGCATTTTGTAAAAAAATTATGCAATACGTGACAAAACGTATTTTTCATTGATAGAAAATATCACCAATAAAATACTTTAATATCTTAACGATTCAAGACTTCTATTGTAAGTCACTGGACATGAACCAACCCGTGTCCAACCTTTTTTATTCGGACAACCTACACTACCCTCCATAAGTTTGGCAACCTTACCTCCCCCATTGAACTACGTGTTAAAGCCTCTTTACGTTTGAATCTTTATTTACTTCACCTGCGATGAAATTACTTATAATATTGATAGATACTAATAACGTAACTTGACTTTATTTCCAATACCTTCAAATTTTCCCAATTTTTTCCTCAATAACATACATGTAGGTCGAAAATTGATGATAAAGATGAATTTTTGAAAATCGTCATTCCCATGTAAACCAATGGGAAATGGTGGGTTCGGGGCAAATCAGAAATCAGGATATCTATCCAGTAAAAGCTTCAGCAAAAATATATTTTTATTTAGAAAATTGAATTGTCTAACTTTTTTGTGCACTAAGTGTTTAGTTTACTTGATGAATACTAAAGTTATAGAAACCTCCTGTGTTATTTCAATGGGAGACGTTTTTTGAAAAACAATTTTGAATTTCAAGACCGATGGATGAATATTATGTTATATGACTTGAGGCAAACCTACCATTTCCCATTGGTTAATTAATATGGGAATGTCGATTGTCAAAAATTCATCAATTTTCAGCCTATTGTAATTGAGGAAAAAAAATTGAAAAAATTTGGAGGTATTGGAAAGAAAGTCAAGTTTTAGTGGTTCACTTTTCATATTACCCTTATGTATCTGAAAGGTATACAAATTAAATATATCCAGTAAAAGAAAACTGTATCTGCCCAACACAAGGAAAGATAGTTCACTTTTTGTGAGTTTACAACATGGGGTATATGGGGAATCTCCCCGACCTAGAAGTTACATTTCCAAAGAAAATTAAATTTTCAATATTGATAAACTCTTTTCAAACCCACATTTCTATATGTAATTTTACATGTAGATTCCAAATATGACAACAGTTTGACTGAAATTTGAATTCCTAAAGACGTAAATCAAGATTATTTCTACTCGCATCTAGTCTATTATACGATATTAATTAATTAATTAATTATCAATTATTGATAAAGTTAGAGCATATAGTGCATTACTTCTGGGACAACCCTCGTATGACGTACAATCGCATATTAACTTATCATAATCAATTGTATCATTCTTGTTACATTTTTTTATAAACTGAATAAAAAGTGTACGTTCGCTTTTAATTAACACTGTTTTCAATTCTTCAGACTTCAGACATATCTCGAACTATTTCAACTTCAAACGTCCGAACCACGGGGTCCGAACTCATTAATTGCTTACTTTATGAAATGCAACATCATGTAAAACCGAATCGTCATACTTGTAATCTTTTGACTGAATAATGTTGTTGTACTTATATGTTATTTGTTAATTGTGCAAGTGTCACAGAAATCAGATCCACAGGACCACAACATACATTCAAATATACAAATAAAAAAAAATCCTATGGTACCAATCTGATGAAAAGTTGTACGTGGGTGCAGCCCCTGGCTTCTCCACCCAAATTGTCAACCACCTACAAAGCTTGCGTCACTGTAAGTCCAGCAATATGTATTATTTTCTTTCCAAAGATCAAATGTTCACCAATGCAGAGATCACCAGATCGGTGTAATGCAGTTGTTATTTGAAAATCCAAAGGAATAACACATAACATTCTGAATAACACCAAATAAATCCTCCTAGGTTTCTTTCTTTATCAATTTAATTTCTATGTTTTCCCTTTATTAAAGTTTAGATGAAATATAAAGGATAGCCTACCCGTCATGCATGAAGGTATTGATATTTCTGCTTGGTCGATTATGATAATCTATTAATCCTGTATTTATATTGCGTCTAGTCCTTCCGTATCTGCACTGATCCTTCTAGGT